ATATATAAAATAAATAAATATGAAGTACAAAAATAAAAATCAATAAAAAACACTATTTTGTGTAAGTAAACTCAGCTTGGTATAAACAAACACAAATGTTATTGTAGTAAAATGTACATGAAATAAAAGTTATTGATAAGATATTTTCAAAAAAGCGTGTGACCACCTAACTATACCTCTTGGCAATAGTTACCAACTGGTTATTAGTGTTATGACAATTATCCATAATTTCCAGTATTCGTTTTCTTATGGTAAAGTTTTGTCCATGAGCAACATTGTGATAGATTATGTAACAAAATAAAGATATAAATTTAAAAATCAATAAAATGCAATTTATAAATATGAATATGCCCTTGCTACAAAGCTTGATTTAATAAATTATATAAATTCTCCTCTAGTTTTTTTAAATATGCTTTTATATATTTTTTGTTATKTCATTGTTTTTTATTTAGACATATTGACTACATGTTGGACTGCAGTTAAACCATTTCCTATTCCACCGAGTCGAAATCATCCGATTATTGAAATTGCTGAATTATATCCAGATCCTCAACCACAAACATCTTATATTAATCACTTGTATGTGTATCCATTGTCGCTAGCATTTGATACACAAAAAAATATTCCTCGAGCCCGAAACATTACATGTATGGTCCAATTATTTGATAACGATAATATAGACTCTAAGCCTATTAAGGTAATTTCATATTTAAGTTGTTTCTCTAAAAATTTGTTATAAAAAAATTTAAAAATGTATTCAAAATATTATAGTGTATCTATGGGACACATGGCCAATTATTGAGTTCTATGTGTACTTATGTTTTATACCATACTACAAACCCAATTTGGTATGATGAAATCAAAATAAGACTTCCAGTGCACATAACTCCAAAACACCACCTACTGTTTACTTTTAAACATATTTCTGTTGATGGTTCACGTAAAAAGCAATCAAATATTTCAGTCGAAACAATAGTGGGATACTCATGGCTACCACTTATCTTCAAATCCAAGTAATAATAAYAATATTTATTTTATCATATAGTGTGTTATTAACATATTAACATTACATTATAATATWATATTTATTATATTTTGTTWATTTAGAATCAATATGGATGCAAAATGTTTACCTGTATCTGTAGGTTTACCAGCAGGGTATTTATCAGTACAGCCATTTGGTCTTGGAAAAGGAGTGAGTTATTTATTTTTTCTAATACATTTAATTGTTATTTGTAGATATTATAATACAAATGATACTAATGAATGTCTTGCATTAAATTGATCATCCAAATATATATATATATATATGTAATTATAATGATTAGGGCTCGGATTTATTTGTATTTAAATTTATCACTTTTCAAAATTAGTTAATCCTAATGATGAAATATTGATATTAGATGATACAAA